GGAGGAGGAAGAGGAAAATAACAAATAATTTAGTCAATTGATTTTGTAATTTTTTAATAAATTTCATGAAATTTAAATTTTTGGCGCAATAATTTTTTTGCCAAATTTTTTTCCACAGTAATTTTTTTGACAAATTTTTTTCTACAGTAATTTTTTTATTGAATTTTTTGTTACAGTATCAATTTTTTTATGAATTTTTTATCACGGTATCAATTTTTTTGTCAAATTTTTTGCCACAATATACTAAATTTTTGACCATAGTATTAATTTTTTTATCAAATTTTTTATTGCAATATGCAAAAAAATTTTTTGTCACAATATTGCCGGATTTTGTGCCAAAATTTTTTTCACAATATGTAATATTTTTTGCTGATTTTTTGCCAATATTTTTAATGCTGAGTGGCAATAATTATAAATAATTTATCAATCTTTTTATTATTAATTTTTATCAAATTCAGCAATAATTCAACAATCAAATGACATAATTTCAACTAGTGTAAATGAATTTCTTTTGTAAAAATATGGGGTTGGGTAGCTTCTATTGGTTTTAACTTGTACTAAATTATTTCTATTTTCCATAGTTTCTATTGAGAGTCTTAATTGGAAGCTATTTTTTCTAAAACCTTTAATAGCTTTTTTTCTTATCACTCTAGAATTTGAATAATCTTTTGTTTTTTGGTTGCCATAATGTCATATGATATATATTAATTAATACATTATTTTATTTAAAATAGAATATGTTATTGTTTACTTATTTGTTTATTATACTGTTTATGTCTGAATACATTGATTATAACCAAGTCTATCTTATCTTGTTTTCTTTTATATATTATTTACATTTCTATTTAATAATTCTAATTATATAAATAGTAAAGAATTACAAGTTTTTTTGTTGTTTTATTGCTAAATTTGAAAATTCAATATAAATACACTTTATAACTAATAGCTAATTATTTTTTTGAAAATCAAAAATATTATCTTGTTTATATAATTTGTAATATTTTGAACATGTTACAAAACTAACAAACTGATTTAATAATTCAAGTATATTATTAATAGTTTACAAAAGAGCTCAAATTCTTTACTAACAATTTCAATTAGTATTAATTTCATAAATTTTAGTAATATATCTATTATACTATTTGATAAATTAAATCACATTCTATAGTTCATAATTAATACCAAAATTTATATAAAATAACTATATGAAAATTTGCAAAATTAAGAGAAAATTCATATTTTGAAGTCAAATAATTGTTGAATATATCATATATTTTTTTTTTATTATTAACTTCAAATTTGTTATTTTCAGAACTTACATTATTCAATCTTAGGTTTTGTTAATTGTTACTTAATAATATAATTTGTCTTAATAAAATATTTCTTGTTTTATATCAAAATATAAATTCTTTATTTACTAAATTTAGTGTAAGTTCTTGAGGTTCTATTTCAATAGGAGAGATACTTATTCTATAGCCATGACACTTTCAGATAATAATGAGAGAGAGAAGACCACAGTCCATATGATGTTTATCTATCTGCACTTTCAGCCAATGACTTATAATAGACCTAAGGTTCTTATGGAGCTTAGGAAATATATTCATATTATATGTCACGTATAACTTTGTTTACATTTCTACTAACCATGAAGCAACCAATCCCAATCTTCAGCCAATCAATCTGTTCAAAATCGGTGTAACAGAAAATTCAGGGTCAAGCTAGGATAGGCAAAATCCCCCAGAAAAATCAAGAAAGAATCACTATATATTGAAAAAGAAGCCATTTTTGCCTATGGTAGTGATGTTGGCAAGCTGGCATGGAATTATTGGCCCACACTTCTTCCTGGACTTTGGAACCTCCATAAGGAAGAGAAGAAGAGTATTTTTTAATCTGGTTTCTTCTTTCTAGAAAAGCTTTCTTACTATTAACTTCTTAGGTAAAGGATTTTTGAAAAGGAAAAGTAAACAAGAAGGATAAGATATGACTGTTGCTAAGCGAAGCAAATGTTTTTAAAGAAAGTTTTGAAGTTTTATTACTCTCAAAACATAAAGTTTTGAAGGAACACTTCTTTGGAAGTGGTGGTCAAGGATCTATGGGAAAGAGTCTCATACAGTATATATTATACTAATAAACATAAATCTTTTTAACTTATGATATTGTTTCTTGAAAAATTTAAACTTATAATTTTATGATTTAATCTATAAAGTATTAACTATTATACTAAAGATCTACAGGTTTTAAATTATTAATTAAAAAATTTTTTTTTATATTTTTATTAATTCCTTTATTAAGCTAATTACTCAAGTAAACACTATTATAACTAATATTTAATAATTAAAATCATTTTTTAATTTATCTACTATATATTAACTCTAAAAATCTTAAAAATATAAAAATATTATAATAAATACTAGTTTTCAAGAAGATTATCATCAGTGAAAAAAAATTTATTTGAATTTATTAATATTAAAATAACTAAAACAATGTTATACTTGAAATTATAGATCAGATCGGGTCTTTAATAACCTAAATTTGATCACTATTTTGATATGCTTTAATAATCAACTATTTTACACGTACGTATATTTAATTCCTCTCGGTTTATACACTATACACATGATTATTGATATTTACAATTAGGATTCGGTTAAAAAAATCCGAAAAAAAAAAAATGCAAAAAAAATATACAATGATAACAAAACCCACCAAATATAATATTTTGGGATCGTTTCGTTTCTAAATTTTGGCTAATTTTTACAATGATGGTGGCAACCATCTGAAATTTAGGTTAATTTTTCTTAATATTGTCCATTGTCCATTTCCTTCTAATCACTTTAGATGCCCAACTACAAAAGGTTTCGATTGGTAACTGACAGATTAAGCTATTTAAATTTTTTTGCAAAAAAAAAAAAAGAAAGAAAAGAAGAAAAACTAGATTTACTAAATAAATCAATCATTTGAAACTTAATGCTCGATTTTAAGCAACATCGAAGACACTTTCCCCTGCGTCTTTTGATAACTGCATTCGCCGACATTTCTCACCCTTAAATTACAAAACTTCTCATTTATTCCTGGAGATCTTTATTCTTTTGGAGAGGAGAACTGTTCTCTTCGAAATCATACTTTTTCCTCGAAATGATAGGAGCAAACGGCTCAAGTCTGCCTCGAAGAATCGGCAGCTTCCAACTTGTGGTACAGTTCTATTAGCCTTTCAGGGTCTACGTCATCCTTTGGCCAAAAGTACGTCACGAACTGCCACAAGCTGTTTTGCCATTGAGCATATTCTTCAGCAGATTTTGTAGAGAGAATTTGTCCGATCTTTGCACCAATGACCTTCAGTGACTCTTTAATGAGCATGGCCTTCTCCTTCCCTTTATATTTTCCTGATTCCTATGACGGAAAATTTAAAATTGTTAACAAATTTAAATCAGTTAATCGCATACTGAATTAAGGGCGAACTATTTACCTTCTTGAGCCATTGAAGTTTCTCCTTGACTGGGCGCAGAAGCTCTTTGCACTCCCGATCGGTGGGCTCCTGAACGTCCTCCGCACTCGTAATTAACCTCGATCTCTTTCCTTTTGAAGGTGTGACATCTTGATCATCCTCGCGGCGAATTCTGTTTCGTGGTCTCTGCAATAGCAAAAACAAAAAACAAATCATGAGAAAGGAACTCGGAGAGTGAAAAGGAATTCTTCCAGAAAACTTATGCATCACACACCTTCTCCTCCTCGTCATCTACATGTAATTCGTGTAGCAACTTTAGGAGGTAGTCGGCTCGTCGGTTGACTTTGGCTACTTGGGCAGAGGCCGATCGGGAGTCACCTTCCTCGTCGACAAGTTTTCCCGAAAGACCGAGACAAGGATCCTCCTCGATCGCTTTCCAGCTACCAAAACCGTGTTTGTATATTCCAACCAAGAGCATTTGATCATCTTTACGACTCCAAGCTACCGGCCAGTTATTTGCGGGTTTCGTTGTTGCTTTTATTCTGAACTTCTCGGGCTCAGAGACTGCTAAACAAAAACGCCATTAATTAGATATTATTCGGTGCAAAGTGTAAGTGAAAAAAAAAAAGAGTACATTTCATTTTCTTGTTCAAAACGCCTAGTTCGGAAACACGTTGAACAAGCATGCCCGCGTTTAACTTGTCGCATCCATTGTATGTAACTTGAATTGCTTTACCACGTGGATTTGGAACGGAACGAGATTGCTGATCAGAATGAATGGCTTCATTGCCCATCTCATAATCTCGAACTGCTTTTTCGCAAGTTATATAAAGAGCATCGTAAGCCTCTAGAAGTTGCTCTTCGTTCTTGCCGTACAAATCTGAATCATTAACAATATCTTCATAACGCTGATGGATATCACCAAACTTCAACACACTTCTGTATAAAGCTCTCAGTTCTTTGATGGTCAGATCACGCGAGGATTTGGAGTTCACCTCTGAAATTTTTTGCTTCCTCGGGGTAATCTTCTTTCCAACTTCGTCCCCCGAGTCAGAATACCTCTTTCGGCTTCCATTTGCTTTCTTTCTCGGACGATCGCCGTCATCATCTGATTCAATATATTTTTTTCTACTACTGTTTGACTTCTTAATTGATTGTCCGTCTTCATCGGAATCCCCGTACCTCTGGCGATCACCATTAGATCTCCTCTTAGAACGACCTTCATCGTGCACCTTGTTCTTATGACTCGCTTTAGATTTCTTTGGACTCTCATCTTCATCCGAATCCACGTACTTTTTGCGAATCACTTGAGATCTCTTTTTCTTGCGAATCGCCTTGGGCTTCTTTTTTATCGGAGGATCGTTATCCGAAGACATGGGATCCGCCATGTCGATACGATCATCTTGAGAAACAGCACTCCTCTTCAAGCCAAACTTACTTTCATAGTCGAGTTCGGTTTCCGCACTTTCCATGGCGAGCTTGTCCCTCTCTTCTTGTGGTATTATATCACTCCAGCTAATATCGGCCCCATCAAAATCTGCCACTTTAAATTGTTTAAGAAATTCTTCACCTCCTAAACTGCTACTCGACTGAACACCGGCCGTATCGTGAGTTTCAGCTCGAGCAAGAATGTCATCCAAGTCAAGATCATCCAACTTCTTTGAATTTTCTGATTCTTTAAACATATTTTGGGCTCCGAATTTGAGAATCGCGGTCAACTCTTCTCGACTGAAATTTTCCGATGATTTAGCCTTCGGATTCTTTTGAAGGATACTTTTACCTGATGTATCCATCTGCTTGATAATACAATACTCAAGTACCATCTTTCGTTTTGCTCTCTCAAGGATGCTCTCTTCAATAGTATCCTTGGACACAAATCGATATACATTCACATGATTTTTCTGACCGATACGATGAGCACGTGCCATAGCTTGGAGATCATTTTGTGGATTCTTTGGTTTTTAAATAAATAAAAGTTCATTAGACATCAATAGATTGCATCCAAAAAATAAGGTTCAATAAAATCATACCCAATCAGAATCAAATATGATAACTGTATCGGCTGTATTCAAATTAATACCCAAACCCCCGGCACGGGTTGACAACAAAAACACAAAATCAGAAGAGTTCGGTGCGTTAAAATGTTCGATGGCCTTCTTGCGTGCCTCAGAAGGAACACCGCCGTCCAAACGTTGGTGCTGATATCCGCGCAGCTTAAGGTAGTCGGTTAAAATATCCAGCAATCGAACCATCTGAGAAAAAATTAAGACACGATGATTTGATTCTCTTAGTCGAGTCAACAATTTGTCCAACAACACCATTTTTCCACTACTAGCTATTATTCCACGAAGTTGCTCTTCTTTCTTAGAGGCGACAATTTCGGCATTCGGAAATAAAAACGGATGATTACTTGCTTTCTTTAATTCGACAGCTATATTCAGGAGACTCATCTGAGAGGATCCAGCAACTCCTTCATTAAGAACGTCGAAATTCTTCGTGAGTATGTTCTTATAGTAATGCACCTGTAAAGGAGACAAGCCAACCCTTAATATCATTTCCGTTTTCTGCGGTAGAGACTTTTCCACATCCTTTTTGAGGCGACGAAGCATATATGGTTCTAGGCTCTTGTGAAGTTCACGTATCTTTGCCTCCTGATCTTCATCAGGAGCATCGATATCGATATCTCCGGCTATCTCGAAATCAGGCATTAGGAAGTTCACCAGTGCACATAATTCCTTGACAGAATTTTGTAAAGGGGTACCCGTAATCAAAAGTCGATTGGCGGTGTTAAATGTTGAAAGCACCTCGTGGAGCTGTGATTCACTGTTCTTCAGACGATGTGCCTCATCAACGGCAAGGAATTGCCATTTAATCGAGCCTAGTTCCTGTCGATCTTTCAGTATGTACTCATAGGTGGTCACCAAAACATTAAACTTAAGTTTCCTGCTGCCGGAAGACGAAGGAATATAAAATTCATTATCCCGTATTACCTCTCGACTTTGAGAGGTACCGGTGTAAATGATAACATTCAGCTCTGGTGCCCAAATTTGAAATTCATTTTGCCAGGACCCGATGGTGGACAATGGTACAACGATAAGATAAGGACCATATTGTTCGATAGAGTGATAAAGGTATGAAAGAAATGAAATCGTTTGAACCGTTTTACCAAGTCCCATCTTAATTCGAAAACAAATATGAAATGACCAGTCGAAATTTTTAACTCAAGCAAGATTCAATTTGAAAGTTAGATGTCATACCTCATCAGCCAGAATACCGTTTTCATTACGTGACCACAAGTGGGCAAGCCAATTTAAACCGGTGAGTTGGAAGTCGCGTAGTTCACCGCCAACAAGGTAACTTGGTTGCTGAGTAAGCGGCTTAAACGCAGGTCTGCTTTTAGGGTACACTTTACTCTTGTGTGGAACACAGGAGTTGCGATTGCGGTTAATGAAAGAATCAATTTCGACTTGAAAATCATTTTGAATGGTTTCAGCGGGCTCCCAAGTGCAATCTTGGTAAGGAAGACGCTTAAACTTGCAAAGGTATTCAGTGGTGGGGTATGGATTCTCTTCAGTTGGAGATGTCCTTTCTGCGATAACACGCTCGACTGTTCTATAGTCTTTTAATATGTCACGATTCATCTCCTTGTTTACGTCAACTGTTTCTTTGTCTTCGGGATTCTCGTACTGTATCTCCATTTCATGTAAATAGTTCTTGATATAATTCTCCAACTTCTTGAAGCCCTTTAATCCACGAAGATTCTCGTACGTCTCCCAAGTATCATGAAGGTGACTCCAGCCTTTCCATTTGATCAGAAATTCCATGCTGGTTTTTGGATCTTGAGGTTCATTTGGATCTATTTCCAGAGAAATGTAAAGGAATGAATAGAGAATAATCCTGTTGCTCATAAATTGTAAGTTGGAGCACATACCAATTCCTTCTATCCTCTGTATATCATGAATGCTCTCTATCACACTCTCTTCTACACAATGAGAATGTATGCGGTAATAAGCATCGATTCACGTGTGAAACTGGACCTCGCATGTTTACCGATTTTTTTAACACCTCACCTTCTTCCGGTTGATAGTATTCATTCATCGGTATTTCATCATCGTCAACCTCCAGCCCAAGCTGTCTATCAAGTTCATCCTCATTATAGTTCGTGATGGTACGAGTACGCCTCGAATATCGATTCTCCATGACGAAGTCATCTGCAGATATGAAAGTATTCTTTTTTTGCCTGGAGGATGATGCTTTGTTCGAGAATGACCAATCATAATCATCTGAGACGGACGCTGAGGCGGATGTAGTACCTGGCTTGCTTGCCTGAGGGGATGAGGCAAAACCGCTCTCGTCATTCGTACCGGATGTTGACCAATGCCCACCGTCTGAGAAGAGTTTTTAAAATCGCGGGGAGACGGACACACAATGGATCAATGAAGTACCGCATACACGAAAAGTGAGGGATGAGCACAATGTTGAAATGAGAAAGGACACTTTTCCTGAGAAAAAATATTTACCCTGTGATCTTTTCAATCTAGTCTTCTTCGTGGGAGCTGCCTTCTTACTATTAACACTATCCTTCTTTCTTTTTCGTGGATTAGAAGAGTCATGTTCGTCAGCGTCCGAATCCTCTTCTGAAGAGGTAGGATCCTACATTTAAACCAAGTTCGGTGTTATGTTTATCATTTATCGTTCATTTGCTTTAAAGTGTAATGATAACTAAACTTACTCTGTAGTTCACGGGACGCTCTGTGTTAATACGACGAGACCTCCGTAACCCGTAAAGTTCAGGATCAAGTTCCATGAACTCTCGGCCTGTTAGGGAATGAGCGGGATTGAAATGATGTAAATTGAACATCTCGGCGTTATTAATTAAGCAAATATTGAAATTCTATTGTTTTTTGTGATAACTATTGATCCGTTATGTTGCGCGTTTAAATTGCAAAAACGTAAAGAGCACGTGTAAATAGTCGTGCACAATGGACACAATAAATTATTCTAGTAATAAGTGCTAAAAAAACACGACGGAAATATAAATAAAAATGATGTATGTCGCGAGATCAGAATCTTGCAGATGACAACAATGATGATCGAAGAAGGGCGGTGAATAAAAGAAATGTGCGAGAAAACGGAATATATTTGGTATGTAAGCTATTCTAAGAGGGTGCAAGGTGACGAAATCTAAAGTCCGTAGAAAAGTGCAAAATTCATTGTGTAATATAAATTGGTCGATTTAAAAAAGGCTTCGAAAAAGTTTTTTAGGATAGAAGACGTGTACAGCGCGAGACAAAGTAAAAGAAATAAAGGGATGACCGGAATAAGGGTATACTTAAGGACGCCGAAGCTGACTTAAGTTTATTAAAGCTCAGCTGAATTGACTCTAATAGATTTCATTTGTAGATACAGCTCTTCTTCCAATTAGGCAGCTTACGAAAGTTCGAGCGAAACAACGTCTAAAGTAAATTTGCAAATAGTCCAAGAGCGAAAATTGCTCAAGGCTTTTATGAAACGTTTACTCGGTTTCTACGTTACTCACCTGTCATCTTGAAAAATTTTTATAAAGGTGGAATAGCTGTTGTTCTTTGCTTAATCAGCAATATAATAGAACGTTTTTTTTTATAAGGATAAATTTATTATGACAACGGTAAACTAGAGGAGTTGTAGAACTCATGTTGAGCATTTAAAATTATTCTGATATTCGATAAAAATTCCGGCAAAGGTTCCATATGACGTTTCCGCATTTAAAAATATATAAAAGATAAACGTCGTACATTAACCGGAAGATGTGATGGTCTTTGAACACACGTGTAACCAACTATTTTACACATTTAAAGCAAGTTGCTCGTGCTAAAAGACATTTAACTGGTGTGATTTGCCGGTTCGTTTTTTTTTTTTTTTTTGTAATAATCTATATTAATTAACTACTTTTATTTAGAGATCTAATATAATTATGACTTTTCACAATATTATACTTCTCTAGTTAGATTGAATTTATTTCTATCTACTAAAAAATCATGAATTGTTAAGATTAAAAGAAAAAAAGGATAATAAAATAGAAAAAGAAAATAATTTAAAATTTATCAAAAAAGTTTAAAAATAACAATCTTTTCTCAAAAAAATTTTATCTAATTGAAATAATCTTTTTACTTCATTTAAATTTTAAAAAAAATTTTTTTTGTTATTTTTTGTTATTTTTTTTTTTAATCCACAATTATGTCACTTTTTGATATATCTTTATTGAGATATTGAGAGATACCTAAATATTTTACAAACTTTCATAAAACAACTAACTTGTCATTATACATTATTAGTTAAAGGACTATATTACTTAAAAAATATAAGGAGTCTACTAAGCTAGTTCAGACTAAACAAAACTAAGTCTAAATTAGGTACTCTAAGTCAGATTTAAGGGATAATATTATACTCTTCTAGTAGTTTGACAATAGTACTTCTAAGTCAACTAGGGTTATTGCCAATAGTTTGTCATTATTGATTATTTTGAAAAATAATGAATTGCTAAAGTTAATACTGAAAAAAGGAAAGGGGGAATACAATTCAAAGCCCTTCAAAAGGTTCCTACTCCATTTCATAGTTTTCTTTCAAAAGGAGTTTGCCTGATTGGGATATTCTCCAAGCTTCATAATATTTGAGAAACTTAGTCATTTCTGAAAGTAACTTCAAGAAGAATATTTGAAAAATTTATTCTTTTGCCAATATACAGATTCACTTATCACTAGTAAAATTAGTACCATATTATGGAAAAGTTTGCTTGACTGAAATAAAGAAATCTTTCAAGAACTTTACCTAACTGGGATAGAAGCTTAAACCTCAACTTTTATCCAAGAAAGCTTTTTCACCACCCGAAAAACTTAATGAGAGATGGGAGTTGAATTTTCTATTCCTACTTGTCACTTGCCTTTTGGTATCATAATTGTTTTTTGAAGGTTGAATATATATGATTAAAGGGAACACTTTTTCTAGAACTTTCTTTTCTATATCACCAATAATATATCAAGATATGTAAGTGTAACCAATAGGAGCTTGTTTATATTCCAAAAACTGATGTGTTTCATGTCAGCCAATTATTTTTGATGAGGATTTGTGCTATTCAAAATTCAGAGTTAAACTGAGATAGACAAAATTCCCCAGAAAACTATAAATATGGAAGCTTTAAGAGGGTCAAGACAATTAAAAAGAGAGAAAATAAGTCTTTTTATTGCAGAAAACCTTTATAAGCCTCTCAATTCAAAAATTAAAAAGATCTTTAAATACTTTATAGTTAGTTCTTCTTCCTTTAGAAATTTTCTTACTGTTGGTATCAAAGGTACTACTTGACTTTTCTTGATTACCAAAAGTCAAGTTTTTGAGTAAAAAGGTTTGTAAACAATAGAGAAAAAATAGAAGCGATTCTTGAAGTCATACTTCAAATTATTTTAAGGAAAGCGTTAAGACTTTATTAGCAAGAAAGTGTAAAAACTTCTTGCGAATATTTTTTTTGTGTGTGGTCAGAGAATTAGTAGAAAAAAAAAAGCTTATTGAAAATTTTTTTTGTTATTATTTATAGTATCAAACAATTTAATTCAATTAATTCTTTATTTAAGTAAATATTAAATTGAAATATTTCAAAAAAAAAATATTAAAATCTTTACTTTTGTTTATTAAAGTTTTATTATTATTTAAGGAACTTAGATAAGAAATAAAAGTTTGTAATTTTTAAAAACAAATATCAGTAGAATTTTTTTTTTAATTATTAATAATATTATAAAACATATAAATATAATTAATAGAAAATTATTTATTTATTTTTTTTTAAATACTTGTAGCTAGGCTAGATTGTAAATTTATTAATCAATTAAAAACATAAATATATTTTTATTCAAATAGTATAATATATACTATAACTAAACTATTATTCTAATCTAACTAGCTTATCACAAGCATAAGAGTCTTTAAGTTTAACCTTAAAGACAATAGTTCATTTCATAATATCTTTGAGTAAAAACTTTCCTAGTTTACTGTATTATTGCCAATAGGTTGTTACTATTATATATCAAATCAAGCTGCTAAAATACAGAAAACTACAAAAGAATTGATTGAAAAAAGTGAAAGAGAATATTTAAAAATATTTAAATAGACAATAAAGAAATAAAAAAATAAAAATTGAAAAAAATATTTTCAATTTTTTTCAAAGACTTGCTTCTTAAAACCTTTTTTCAATAAAAAATACCTAATTGAGATATCCTTTTTTTCCTAACTATCTGAGAAACTTATCCATTTTTGATTTTGATTTTCTTTTTATATATCATTTGATAAAACTTATTGCTTAATAAAAGCTTTTTCTTTTAAAACACATTTGGTCCCAACCTTTTTTGAATAGTAATTTTTTATTTATCTACAATAGAAAGGTAACTTATAATGAATTTTAGATTCTTATATGACTTAATAGAAATTGAGCTATATTGTTTTAATATAATACTTTTCAGTAGTTATGCTTAGTTAAAAAAATTTTACTGATATATGTTTTCTATTATTCAAAAGATCAGATTTCTCAACAATCCTTTGTCTTATAATAATAAGAAAATTTCAAACAGTAATAAAGATTCTTGTCAATTATGATATCCTTCAACAATTTCTAGAAAAATTCATTCTTAACTAGAATCAAAAAGTTTGAGCTTAATATAGACTAGAGACTGTTTAGTCTTATTATCTGACCAAAATAAAAAGGAGACCTGGTCTTGAACTTTGCCTAACTGGGATAATAGAAGAAAAAGATTTCAACTAAAACAAATAGTAGCTTTTTCACTATCTGGAAACTTATTGCTCATGTTTTATTGATCTTATGGAACTTGATCTGTAAGTTAATCCAATTAGAGGAGTAAGTAAAACTAGAATATTAATTAATTTTTTCAATTATCAATAATATTATTAGAACATATAGATATAATCAATATAAGCTTATTTTCATTTTGTTACTAATATATTTCATATTAATTAATCAGATATCAGGTAATATTGTGCTATTAAAAATTCAGGATTAAACTGAGGTAGGCAAAATCTCTCAAAAAAATTATGAAAAACAATAGATATCCTAAAAAGATATAAGACAGTATATAAGAAGATGGATAATAAGCCTTCTCCTATTAACAAAATCTCTATTTTTTGTTACTTTAAACTTTATAAGGTGATACCTTACTTGTCAGTTCTTTTACTTTTTAGAATCTTTTTGTCCATAGTAGAGGAAATGTGTACTTAAGTCTATTTAGGTCACTAAAGCTTCAAGTTTTTATTCAAAGGAGTTTATAAACAAGTAAATGAGGATAGTAGAGATAAATAAAGATAAACTTCAAGTTATTTTAATGAAAGTATAAAGACTTTATTAGTAAGAAAGTATAAAACATTTTGCAATTAACTTTTTTGTATATAGTTAGAAGATCAATGGAAAGAGTTATTATATCAAAAATCAATTTGATATATGAAATTATAAATATAAATAATTTGATAATTAAAAGTAAGAATATAATATACAAATTTTGATCAAAAAATCTATTTCAAAAAATTCTTAATTAATTAATTTATTTTTAGTAATATATAGTTAAATCAAAATATCTACAGTGATGAGCTGTAGGCAATAATCTGAGTGGCTAAAGGATAATCCAAGCCATAAAGGGAGCAAAATATTATCTCCTAAGTTGCATCTAGAGAAGGTTAAACTTTGTAGATGGGTGAGTCAATATGTAAAAGTCATAAAATATGTAAATACCAAATATATTTACAATAAAATAGACAAGCCATATTGACCTGACTGCAAGTTAAAAAAAAAAAAAAAAAAGAATCATAGAAGATTCTCCACATTAATAG